AGCATTAACCCATCACTGTGCCCTGTAAGGTCTGCCTTCACTCTCAGTCACTGGAACACGTTCATCTACAAAGCCATGCTGGGTAAACTCCCACCTTATATCTGCTCTCTGATCTCACAGAGAGTGGCAGATAGCTATTGCCTGATATCTCAGGATGTGGTTTTGTTAGATGTGCCGAGTGCAAGGACTGACTTAGGGATGAAAGCTTTTCTGTGCGCAGCTCCTCTGACTTGGAACACTCTGCAAAAACAATGGAAACCGAGCAATTTGGTTCCTCTGCATGTTTTTAAAGCTCGGATCGATGCTATGATACTTGACACTGTTGATAGGTCTGTAAATGTAGCCCTGTAAATATGATGTATTGTTTCATGTCTTCATGTGGAACCTACTTGCTGCTGGTCTCCCTTGAAAAGTAGATCGATGATCTCAATGGGATTCACCTGGTTAAATAAAGGCTTGAAATGAAATGAAAAATGTTTAATGTTATGTTTTAGAATGTTGTTTGTTTCTGTGAAGCCCACTGAGTTGAGTTGTGTTGTGATATTAGGTGATATAAATACACTTTAATTTGATTTAAACACCAGATATTTTGCAATTGTAATCAAATGATGGGTGCATTAATGTGTTCTTCACTACTTGGTAAATGTGGGATTATTTGGGTAGTTTAGCCTATAATAAAATATGATAATATATCTTTATTTATAATTTGTATTAACTAAAATCTGCATTTAATTGCATTTCATTCTTAATATTTTGTGCATGCCCTTTATCTAATTGTGTTTTCTTTGAAAATATAATGTGAAAATACTCAAGTAAAGTACCTACATTTTAGTACAGTACTCTATATTACACCTCTGCATATATTTTAGACATTTAAATCTACTTTATAATCTATATTTTCATTTTTAAAAACATACTTTTATTTTGAAAGAGCTAACCAGAAGCGGCGTGTTTACATTCCGGTCAGCGTTACCGTGCTTTTATTTTGAAAGACATAAGCGGAAGCTACGTGTTTACGTTCAGGTTAGCTTTGTCATCCTGTTAGCTTTGAAGGAGGAAGTCTCTTTTCTCCGGATTTAAACCAAATTAAACATTAATTAAACCTCTTTTTCTGATAGAAACAGAGCATGGAAGCGAGTAGGAAACCTCAGACAGAAGGTGAGACTTTAAAACTCATTAATATAACTTTAATTTAAAGTACGTGTCATATAATAAAGGGAGTTTCCCTAGCTGTTAAAGTTAGCATTAAGTTCAACTGTTTACACTTAAAACAATAAACAAAGACACAACATCTACATAAATGATTACTATTTTATAACAAGATGTGTGCAGTAACTAAGTACATATACTCAAGTACTTAAGTATAATTTAGATGTACTTATACACTTTACTTAAGTGTTTCCATTGTATGCTGATTGTGTACTTTTACTCCACTACAATTCAGAAGTTAATGGTGTACTTGTACTCCTCTACATGTATTTAATACCTTTAGTTACTTCACAGATGTGGATGAATGATGTGAAATATAATCAAGTGTTAAATCAGACTTTAGTTCCACCTGGAGTAAATCCACAAGCTACCCTGCAGTATACAAAGTCATTCAACAGAGTTCTTACGGTCATTAAAAACCTGGAAAAGTCATGGAAATTCAAAATGCTAATTCCAGGCCCTGGAAAAGTCATGGAAATGTAACTAAAGTTGCATCAAATATAATTTATATTTGATTTAATCGCCGAAATAGTAATACTATAATGATAATAAATACTGTATCGTATAGTAATGAAACGTAAAATGGCTTTTAACTGACGAGGTGTTTCGCTGGTGAGAGTTTTTAGTGGCTTTAGCCTGTAGAAGATAGTAAGCCTATTTGATTTGTTTTAGGCACAACATGTTTCATATGCAGACCTTATTTTCCTGTTCCATGTTCAAATAAACCA